GACCCGCTATGTTAACCCGATCCCTATCTCTTCTGTTACGTGAGAAGGCCTTGAGGACTGTCTACTAGGGTATTATCAGGTTGCGAAGGAATGCGAGGATGAGGGTTTTTTTTTTTTGGTAGGTTTTTAGACATTAGAGAGGTGAGGGGACGAGGGCAGCAAAAAAAAAAAAACAACAACAGATGTAAAAAAAGAAGTAAAGACATTTTGGTGATGATATGAATACATGAGAGGAGTTGAACTAATCCGACAATCCGTCGTACGAGAGGTAATCGCCCTCGTCCTCGTCCTCGTTCCCGTCCTGATCAGGGTCCTGATGATCACTGGCATGGTCGAGGCCAAGCCACAGGGAGTGTTCGCCGAGCTCTTTTTCGCGCTCGAGGAGGGCATCGAACATGGCCAGAGTCTCCAAGTCCTCGTCCTCCGGGCTGGCGTTGGAACGCCGTCGGGAACGCTCGCTCGACCCAAACATGAGCGGCACCCGGTCACCCACATTCATCTTCTTCCGGACCGTCGTCGAGGTGGTCTGTGCTCGTGAGTGGGCGGTTTGGTGCGGATACCATCCCACCTGTCGGGTCGAATGCACCTTCACTATCTTCTCTACCCCTGACGTACATATTAACGGTAGGTAAGGGTGGAATATTAGCGAGTTCGGAATCGACCGATGACCGTGGAGTGTCAGCGAAGGCTTGGGTATAGTAACTGGAACAGTGATCGTCCTGTTCCCATATGCTAATAGACCAATCAACAATATTAGAATCAACCTTTAAAAATAGACCTTACGGAGCTCAAAGAATGCCAGCGGGGGAACGGAAAAAGTTGTTCTCCTCCACTCACCACAAGTGTTTATTGTCGTTCCACCTAGCCAATCCGACAAATTCCCAACCTCGTACCTCTCCCTCTCCATTTCGGAGATTGTAGGTAGTTTCCAACCATAGCACCTAAAGTCATCACTCCCTCCAGCAAAGTAAGTCGAATCTGAATGAATATGGTTCGAAAATGCGCCATGCTGAAAATAGTTTGATCGATAGCAGCCGAACAGCAAGAGGAGAGAGTAAGCTCTCAAGCATGGATTTGAAGACTTTAATCTGATTGCTCTGAGTGACATGGGCTCGGACGAAAGCTCACTTTGATGGTGCAGACGTCCCGAAAGCCTCCCTCTTCCTGCGGGTCTCCATGAACAGTTGGTTCAGATTTCAAGACCGCTAAAGGGTGGGGGTCGTCCAAAGACCATATGGTTGGGTACCATTTGCTCATCATCACGCCGAGCAGCTGGCCAGTTGGATCGATCGTGACTGACGAAATCTCTGGATGACCAATCCTGATTTGCGGCTTAGGTTTGATCAAGTTGGTCGTAAACTTGATGATGGCACATCAAGCGGGTTTTGGTGGCACAAGAAAAAGGGGGGCGGGGGCACAGATTAATATCCAAAGGAGTGGATGTCCCAAACCCGGATGAGGAAGAAAACAACCCACTGAGATCAAACTGCTGTTGACGTTTGCACTCAGATCAGCCCCTAATTTCCTGCGATCATACAGCTTGATTGTGTGATTGGTGCTGGCAATGAAGAGATCGGGAGAGACCTGGGATGTGCGAAGCAGAGGACAGATAAGAAAATGAGATTAGAGGATGAGTTTCTGGTAAGAGAAAGAAGGAAATCTCAAGTCACGCAACTGGATTCCAGCATATATCAGTATATTGCGCCCGAGCTTCGAGAAGGGCTGTGCTGTTCGCTTGCTCAGGTGCTCGGAGGTCGTGGCGGAATACATAGCCATCCTCCGCTGCAGAGAGAAGACAACTTGCTTCTTGCGGATGACAGGCTACCCGCCGACAGGACTCCTGTGACGAAGGGATTCAAAACATGTGATCATCATGTTAATGATGAATTGAATGACAGCCAATGAGAGTCAACATGGGAACTCAAACGGTGTGGGGGGTTAAGACAGAGAGCGCTGGATGGGGTGAAGAGGCTGGGTGGCTCGCTGGAGCGGAGGGACGATTGGGATCATAAACGAATATCCTCGAGTCTAATCCCGAGCTATTTATTCAGACGCAGTTCGAAGACGGTCAGTCTGAGATTCAGGATGGATAGATATCATCTTCGTTGGGACACGGGAGACCTACGCAACCAGCCGTCTACCATCGGCAGAGAAGTCGATGGAGAAGATGTTTGCAGCCGGGCCATCGAATGAAGCGACGGGTGCGATCTGATCGAAGTCAGAGAAGATGTCCCAGAGGATGACTCTCTTGTCGTCACCCCCACTGGCCAGCCAGCGGCCTTGCTCGGCCCGACTGAAGCAGATCGCATTCACACAGCCGTGGTGACCTGGCAGATCGAATGAGTATGGATAACTCGGTTCGGCCAGTTTGCGTGCTCGGGGTTGGGTGATATCGATCGATTGAACGATTCGAGAGGTAGGGGTGGGCAGGTAAAATGGGTGGCGGATATCAAGTGCGCAAGAGGAGGTGGATCGGAGTGGCTTCATGGTAAGTTTAACTGTTGATCAATAGTTAAGGGATGATGAAGATATCAGCTTCAAGTTCAACTGGGACAGCTATGTGTCCAAGTGAGCGTCTTGTGGAGTAGGATACATCCAAGAGAAGACGAGTTGGAGGAGAATGAGATAAGGAGGGGAGGTGAGGGGGGAAGGAGGGGAAACGAGAAGGGGAACTGCTTAAATAGTACTCAGACCACCCACCCCACTGGTAACCCTCGAGTGCAATATTACAGATATTCCACATCATCCATGATGATGATGCACTCAAGGCTCCACACCCCAACCAACATATTCCCTCAAGAGGTCCTTTGATGGCCCGAGGGTTACTAATATCAACAAACCAAACACACCATCTCTAGAGCATCTGAAGGTATTCGTGAAAACTTGGCTGGTTCTTGGAACTGCTTTTCCTTTGGGCCTCATCCATCGATATTGCTTGATACACTGACCACTCAGACCTCTTTCTCAAAACCAACATTCAATCTCACCCCCCCCCCTCCCCACAACAAAACAAAGGACAGACCCAGCCAGCAGTGTCATAGTGCTGATGAAGAGATGAACTTTTTTCCAAGAACAATGTAACAATGTCCAACCAGTGCCAATCAAACACAATCCTCTAATCCCCAGTAATTAGCTGATATATATCTCTTTGTAAAGCTTACTCCAGAGCTGCACTTTTTTAGGATATATTGGTGTAGGACCCTGGAAACCCCCTTATATGGATGTCAGTAAGTAAACAAAATTCAAGGATTTTTGGAGAATTCATACATTGGGGGAATGGAATGTTTCAGTCCAATCATACACATTCAGTGTGCATGTTTGAAGTAGAATTAGGAGTCCAATCCATGGTCCTGGAGTTGGATCTAGGCTGTCCCAAGATCATCTCAGAGGTATGCTTGTGCTGTGTCAGATCAACTAGTTAGGGTTAACATTTTTCATAAAAATGAGGGCCAGTAGGGGCTTGCTTGTCGCCTTCTGCCAATTTCCTGAGGATTAGATCCCCAACAGGTCTAACATCATCAACTCAAGCAGCAAATCACAAGCCCCAATCCTAGTGCTTTGGTCATTGAGACCTCAGTTAGCACGTTTATCCAATAGTGGGGTTCACAATTTTTGCCAGAAGCAACCATTGTGAAACTCATATAGATGTCGCTTGAAACCTGGGTACCTGTAGCGGGTGCGGGTACCTGCCTCAAAAATCCAATATTTTCAACACCCGCACCTGCTAGGGCTGGCAGGGTGGGTACCCGGGTACCTGCGGGTACCTGGCTGATGAAATTGGGACCAAAGACGTGGAGAATTTTTGAGAGGAAAATTTTTGGGGGCAACAAAAAAATGAGTTTTGTTGGACTGACTCAAGGGTCGGGAAAAGAATGAGAGAGAGCCAATGAGTTTTTTACTTAGAGGAGACTACGCGTTAAATAGTCTACATACAAGTGGTCAAACATGTGGTTGAGAAAAATGAATATCAAAATGAATAAAACAGATAAACATATGCTTGAAAAGATGTCTGGAATAAGTGTAAGTTGATAAAGACTAGACCTGGGTTCGAAGACTACAAGGATTGCAGCACTAGACAACATAACAAAATATCACGCAGAAACTATCAAAAACAAAGTAAAAATCATGGAAATTATTTATGAAATCATGTTGAATTTAAAAGTGGGATAGATGAGTTTTTTAGGGATGAGAAGAAAAAGAGATGAAATTCCAACACTGGCACATTTTTGCAGGCAAATATACCCAGAAATCTCACCCTTCAATTTCTGCATGACTTGGTAAATATATAATTGATATTCACTAGATATATGAGTAAGAATAAAATAAAAATAAATAGATATAAAGAAAAACAAATTATTCTATCACCAATTTGAATTTTATCTTCTCTCTGATCTATCTTTAGCTTTACCCTTTTGCTTGTCCTCATTTAGCTTATTCAATTTCCATTGATGAAGACTGTACACTGTCTTTATGACTGAAGGAATTCCTCCAGTCATCAAGACTGTACACCATCTCAAAGGCCGGAGGGAACCCTCCGGCCTCAACAAACCAACCAGATTAGTTCAGCAACACATGTAGGACACCAGCTGGTGTCCTACATGGGTTGCTGACACCTTTGTGCAGCCCAACACACCCAAAAAAAGGGAGTGTTGGACCACCAATAATAAATTAAATTCTTCAGGGGAAGAATTCCCAGGGCGGGTGTAAGGCGGGTACCCGGGTACCTGCCTTTTTTTACCGCAAATGTTGACAACCGCACCCGCACCCGCACCCGTTTCCGGGTACCCGCTTTGGAAAACAGGTACCTGCTGACATCTCTAGAAACTCAGAAGTACTGACAACAGCTTACAATCCTGGTACAATCACTACAAACAAAACCCTGTTCCACCTGGGGGGGAATGTGGAGGGATTTTTTTTTTTTTTTTTTTTTTTTTTTTTTTTTTTTTTTAAATTTTTTCTTTTTTTTTTTTCTATTTTCTTTTTAAATTTTTTAAATTTTTTTTTTCTTTTAAATTTATTTTTTAAATGCTTATTTTGTTCCCTGATTTTTTTGATGAAATTTTCACTTGGGGTAGCCCCTGTGTAATCATTTCTGATTCATTGGTACTTCAGGGCTGTTTTTGTTGTACTTTGCATGTGTGTGTACTTCAAGGCTGTTTTTTTGTTGTACTTTGGATTCAGGGCTGTTTTTGGAGGTCTTAGCTTAATCTCATTTTTTTTAACATACAATCATACAACTAGAGAAAAACATTATTTTGAACATAGAAATTTTTGTTAACATACAATCATGAAACTAGAGAAAAATCAACGGTCAAGTGTGACTAAAGCAATGCACTCCTTCTTGATGTGTTGTAATATTTCAGACGGTCGATATTTAATCCACGCACAATGAGCAAGCACCTCCTGCGTGTGGTTGATGTAAAGGGTGTCAGTATCTTCAGTTTGGAAGGTCCTAAGCTCGACAGCCGTTTCAAAATCATGCAGCCCTGCGAATGGGTTTGGGAAACTACATGGTAAGAGGGGTTGGATTACCAGCCATATGTCTGCCGAGCTGTTTCCATCCCTTAACGTTCGCCGGTGCTGAAAGATCTGTTCAATAATGCCGTACTGGGGTGCACAACCTGCTCGTAGGGCAATCACGCTGTTGCTCGGATTATCTTTGTAGGTGGAGAAGCTCACTTTGTTTATCACGCAACGTGGTAGATTCTCGATCCGAGATGATACTGAGAGAAATTTTTTAGCTTCAGCCCTTCGTTTTTTGGCCCATTCATCAGAGGGAAGCCACGTTGCGCCAGTAGGACAAGGGAAAAGATCGTTGAGTCGCTTGACGAAAACTTTCATAGCACACGAGTCGAGAGAGCCTTGGCGACTTTTGGGGATAGTTTCAGCTTCAACATGAATCGGATCGTGGAAGGCTTTCAACTGTTCAATGAAAGGCATGAGAACTTCAGGGAATTTTTCTTCTGATGCAGACAATAGCGCCTGCAAATTGCCAATTCGGCAAAAGTTAGTGAGGAACGTTATCTCGAGCTGGCCTGGTTATTTTTATTTTCAAAGGCAGGCAGTCCTGGTCAGTCAGTTTCCGCTCCAATAATCGAAAATATGAGTGACAAACCAAGGCGGTTGTTATGAGCAGCCTTGAGGATCCTTCCCATGAGTCGTTCCATTGAGAAAGACCACCAAGCCCTCGATGAGCCACATTTCTCCAGGCAATCGGCGAGGTGAATGGACATGTGGTGGTTGGGAGCCAAGTCGATGTCGGGGAAGAGGATCAGGCAGCTTTTCAAGTAGGCTAGTGTATGTTGTCGGTATTTCTCAGCTGTTTCAATGTTCATTGACCGCTTGAGGGCTAAGTTAACCATTGATACCAGGTGGGCAAAGTTCCGGAAGAGGGAGCGTGCAGGAGTTCCGCCGGTTGCCCAGTAAACAGGAAGGAGAAGGGGTAGCTGGATAGTGAATAAATTGCGCCACTCATCGGCTTTGAGGCTACCAAAAGAAGCCTTGCCCAGAACGGGTATCGGTTGCTTGATCCATGTCGGGTAACGGATCCGTGGCAGACGTTTGTTAATAAACGTGAGCGCATCCTTATCTAATATGATCTTACCTTCGTCTGGACGGATCCAGGCTCCGGTGCCCCAGCCGTCAGCCTCAAGAAAAGGCGAAAAAGAGTTGTCGCTGGAGTCAGTGGAAGGGAACTCGATTTGGTCAAAGGTTTGTTGGTTTCCACCGTCGTCGCTGTTGCTCTGAGCTTCAAGGGCGGCAAGAGTTGGATTGCTGACATCCTTTCTCAATCCTGTAACCTCGGATTGAGGGATCCGTTCATGTTTTTCTTCGTCGGCAACATCAGACATACACCAGAACCGTTGACAGTGCCATTTCAGTAGACCTAAGAGAAGATTGTGCATCGAGTCGACAACATGATATTCAAGAATGTCCCAGTACGGTAGTTCGAGCATGACAGAGTATCGAACACCGTGGTCTAGCAAAATTTGTTTTCGTTCCTCTAGGTTCTTTGCGTCTCGAGATTCAATGGCCCATCGTCTGTGACTTGCCAGATTGCGGAGAGGCCAGGTCTCAGGCTTCAAGTTCTTGATCTCCTGCTTGGGAAGCAGGCAGTACGAACACATCCGAGTCGCGATGGGAGAGGCAAATCCCAGACCACGGCGGAGGGCAGGTAGATCTGCAAAGAAGGGGAGGATGGCGGCATGGACACGGCGTCCTCGAGGGTATAGAAAGGTTCGGGAGAGAGTAAGTCCGGTGTCCCACAATACTTTCAGCTGCTCGACGATTGGTCGAAGGATCCAGTTGATTTGCTCAAGTGAAGGTTCTGTTGGTCCAGGTGCGATGCCCACGATGAAGAGGTTTTGAGGTTGATAGCGTATTTCCAACGGAAGAGAGTAGCAAATCATGATGATGAAATGGATGCTAGCGCTCTTGGTAGATTTCCCATAAGGATTGATGCCGTCCATGAACATGCCAAATGTGAGATTTTCAGGCTGCTTGGTATATTGGGTTCCGTCCGGGCCAAGAAAGTTCTTCCACATCTTCGTATGGTGAATATCAGTAGCTTTGTAAGTGGGATCAAAGGGTTGAACAGCGAGAGCAGCGATCTTTTCTAAGGCAGGTTCGATTTCCGGCCGAGAAAAAAGTCTACCAAGCCAGTCGTAAAGGCTTTGATAGGCGTATGACTTGATTGGACTCCACCGACCATTCCTCAGGCGATACAATTCGGCTCCACACTCGCTTGGCGCCTCCCGTAGTTGTGCGGCTGTTGCGCCGTTTTCTTTGGGAAAAACTTGATTGATGCAGCTTGTTGGGCCAGTAGGGGCAGCAGGAATCTTTGGAGCGTTCTTTTGTGCGGTCTGCGGGGCAGTCGGTAAGGCATCATCTTTTTGGGGCGTAGGCATGGGGTACATTGCCCAACAGGATGGGCAGCATACGACTGTGACTAGGGTTGGCTCGATCTGCAACCGGCTGAGAACAGTCCGAATATCTGAAGGAAGAGCTTCGAGTGTGTTTTCTTGTAGGAAATTGAGGCCCTTCTTAAGATCACGATCGCCAAGTCCGCCAGCAGCTGTGAGGGTAAGCAGTTCTTTTCCGGATTTCAAAAACCAAGACGCAGTGGCAACGGATACATGGTCGAAAACAGATAGCATCGCAGACAAAAGTGACATATGCAGAACAGCCGGATCGACATCCTTGAGGGTCAACTTGTAGAACCGGCCTGTAGAAATAATCCAGATTTTCCTTGAATGCCTGTGAGTGTACTGCATCATAAAAGAAATGACGAACTACAATCGTAAATCTCTGTGGCAGAGAGACGAATTTCTTCAATGTTTAGCTGGGAAACGTGAGGGCTTTCTGAGCGGTTGGATTTCTGGCAATCATCATCCTCGTCCTCATCCTCATCTTCGTTCTCATCATCGTCAGAATCTGCAGTTGCAAAACATAAGTACTCGGCCAATCAGATTTTCCCGCAGGATTCTTTACCTTGATATTTCAATAATTTTGCTGCCATTTGAGTATCGGCCGCAGCATGGCTGAATTTAGTGGCTGAAGAAACGATGGCGCCGGATGCCCAGTTGCCGTCCCTTTGCCGGAACCGAAGCTTGCTGCATTTTCGACAATGACAAACCACAGATTCTCGTCGAGTTTCGGACATTGCTTGGATTCAGTTCGGTCTTGGGATGGTCAGGGATAGAGCAATAGGAAAGATGAAGAAAGGATGAGATGAGGGGGGTATGATGATCGGAGAGGGGGGGGTATTGGAGTATTTGGGGAAGTGACATATGCAGAAGGTCGGTTCGAGGACTCTTCAAAGGGATCAAGGCCATCCAGGCCGGTCGGAGAATGTTTGGATAATGTATGTTTACATCATAATTGTTCGATCAGCATATTACATAGTATGTAATATGTGTATGGACACAATATTCGATCAGCCTCTGAATCACCACCGCCACTCCTTGGCCGTGATGCCCTAGAAAGCTCATAGATGGATTGACTCATGGATAGATTGACGGCTTGACGAGTCACAGATTGTCGGCAAAACAGCTGAGAATTCCCATGGCACCGCTTCGATGATCTCTGGTAAGAGAGTGTCAAAAGGGTCAAAGAATATATATGTACATGTCAAGTAAGTCAATAAGTAGAGGCAGTCTAGCGAGGCCGTATTACAAGATAAGTCGAAGAGAAAGTCTAACAAGGCAGTGAGAGAAATAGCTAATAAGCCTGGTGGATGATGGTCCAGGTCCAATTGTCAGACTCTGTGCCTGCGATGAAGCCAACAAGTGCTTTAAAGTTGTCATTGTCATATTCCATGCTTGAAAAAGCGAGGTAATCGGGATAATAATATTTCCATCGACTAAAATATCCGGTGGCCTGCCATTGTTTGAGCATCATTTCAAGGATGTAGTCGGCCGGCATCTTGCCCTCGGGAGTATCGATGTAGTGCATGTTGAAAGGGGAAGTAAAGTCGTAGGTCGCAACCAATTCTTGAATCACTTGGTCGATCTTGCCGGGCGTTAATGAACATCGAAAGATACCTGCGCTGCCGCCCGGGTGGAACAACACTCTGAAGACATCTGCAAGCTCTTCATCGGTAAAGAGCTCATCCGCCTCGACCGCGGTTCCTCCAGCTGACGCAACTGACGCAAGATCAGGAAAAAAAATCAAAAGGATCTGAGATGAAGATGTACATACCTTGCTCATTATGGTTGGTGGACTGGTTGCCATGTTCGTGAGTAAACCCGTGCGCCTCGCCGGGAGTCCCTGTGGCAAGATTGCGATCCAAATAAACAAAAGGAACGGAGAAAATTTTTTTACTAGAAGACGTGCCTTGATCGGTGATGGGCTCATCTATGGTGGTCTTGTTGCCATCAGCGCTTGTGATAGACACATCTAAAGTGGACGCATGATGATCAAGGAAAATAAGTATTGTATCTTGGCCTCTTTACAGTATAGTACATACCTTGCTCGTCTGTATTAGGGTGCATGATGTAGATGGGACAGGTGAATCAAAGAGTATGATATGGATGGAGTGGATCGCCGTAGGAAAATGGAGTTGATAAAGATGTTGGGGAAGGAAATGAGACGAGTAGGTGACAGGTTTGATGTATGGCCGTAGAACCAGGCCAGAGATCCAAGGATTCAGGGAATGAAAGGATCCATGGGGGAACAACAAATATTCGAGTGGTAGACATCATCCCTTTGACCCTTTGATCTGATATACCCTATGCAACTCGCCGGTTTGCAGGCTGGTCTGAGTGGTGCACTCTTGCAGGTCTGAGTGGTGCACTCAAGGTTACAAGTAAGCTTATGTTGTTGGGCCAGCCCCGAATTTGATTTCATGTATTGATTTCTAATTGTGGATAATTTTGAATGGGCTTGTCAAGAGAAGCTTGACAGATGTGGGATGTACATACAGCTGATCGAGGGATTGAGCTCTTCACAGGTGGATCTAGCAATGTCCAACAGCATACAGCTGATCGAGGAATTGGCTGGCGGTGGATCTAGCAATGTCCAGCTCAGCAATTGGCCGGGGGTGGATCTAGCAATGTCTCGGGAAGGGCATGACAACGCCGCCCTTGAAGCTGATCAGACGAGCAAGGTG